GATGGTTATCATTAGCCCTTTAGTTGACTTCAGGTTTCACTGAGGGGAGGAGGAACATCAAAGTGAAAAAAAAGTCGAGAAGGGGGTGAGAATAGAATGAGTTTCAAAGATGTAAAAGAGACAGACACAAAGGTAGAAAAAGATGAGGTGAGTACTGTGAAATAATCAAATATGGCATATAGTGGGTGATGGTAATTTGAAGTGAGAAGTCAACTGCCAGTTAATAGACTTTTTTGCCGTATGAGAATACGTTGCCCAGGGTGTACCACATGGAGGTAAATCTATCGCGCACCCCCTGATCAATTATAGATTTTTTGAAAGCGATTTAATTTCATCTAAGTATGGTGAGACTATTTGCCTCCCAGATTTTCTTACTGTTCAATTACTTGAGTAGTCCCCATTTCTTTTCTCGTAAACAGCTTCACGCATTCGGAAGTGCGGCCCAAGTCTCCGTAGCCGGTCTTAGCACGGCTATTAGTCGCATTAAGGCCACTAAATCCACCAATCCTGACATTACGCTAAAATCCGATGACCAAGACTCCACACTCCCCACAACTTCCCATCGTCCTCTCTTTATCCTCTTTAGCCGAAGTAAGTCGCCACTGAAATGTGCCAAAACTGGAGCTTTCCTGTGTTTCCTTTTGCTTCAGATATGGACTACATAACTCCCTTCATGGTCCCTACAACATTTGAGGGTCTTATACACGAGGTTATTGGCATCAATAATGGTATTATTGAGCTTCCTAATGTACAGAAAGATGACGCGATTCCGGCCAAAATCAATTTGAGCAGCTCCAATATCTCCAGCTTCAAGGTGGTTCTTCTCATAATCTGCTTGGAGATTGATTAAGTAATTGAATATAAACGCGCAATCTGTACGTATCTGCTGTAGGAGGTGAGAAATACGCATATATCAAACGTGCACAAGTGGCTCCAAACACAGAGATCTCAGCTAGAAGACTCTCGAACCGGTTTGGGTTTCTCATTAGCCGCTTTGGATCGAAATACGCCCAGTCCTCCGGGTAGTAATGGACCTCGTGTGTCGAGTGCTTCCGGTCTATCGGATATTTCGACGCAACTGAAGCCGATATTAGCTGTGCGAAAGGAGCTCACTATACTGTTTCTCTGTCTTGAGGAGGTAAGTTAGCATCCTGAAAACTCAACTGCTATAAAGTATTAATCAGTAGTGACTCAAATCTATCTGTGAAAGTACATATTGAGCAGCAACATCCTGGAGTCGGGCTTAATCAATGCTATTGTTTGCTTAACTCATTGAGTAAGCACCGTCGGACCACAAGCTATTGACCTTTGCTTGTGAGTGTGTGTGTCTCGAAGCATGTTAGCATTCATGGCTACAAAATTTCGAAGCCTGTTGAGTAGAAGCAAGCAAAAAACAAACAATATTTTGGAGTTTAAGAGTACTTGCAGTCATATTCCTCATTAATCGAGCTTTCTGCAAATCAGTTACAATTTTTTTCTAATGGAAGCGGGAGTTTTAAATATGAATCTTAAGGTTGGGTGTTGTGGCAACCATATGCTCAGCATCTTCGACTTTTTGAGCTCGCTCATAGACGCTTGTTCATCCTATCCCCCCCTTCCTTCCTTTCCTTGATGATTTTAGTTCGACTAATTTTCTTTGACTAAATTTCTGCCTTTTCTGTCTCCTTCAAATTCACTCCTGTCGACCTCGTCACCCCACCCTCCTCCCCAATTGATTATCGATAGAGAAGATGTTTATTTATTTCAGATGGCAGGTGTTATGATAGGTATCATTAGCCCTTTAGTTGACTTCGGGCTTCACAGAAAGGAAGATGAACATCAAAGTAGCAAAAAGTCGAGAGGGGGACAGAACAATGTTTCACCGATGTAAAAGAGATAGACAGACAGACACAAAGGTAGAGAAAAGGTAAGGTAAGATGAGTACTGTGGAATTATTCGAATATGAAATGCAGTGGGGTAATGGTAGTTTGAAGTGAGATGTCAACTGCCTATTAATAGACTTTTTTGCCGCATGAGTATACGTTGCCCAGGGTGCACCATGTGGAGGTAAGTCTATCGCACACCCCAATTATCGATAGAGAAGATGTTATCTGCTATCTTTCCTGTGACTTACTGCCTATATTCTTTATGCGGTGATATCTTACTCTCCCTATTAAATGTCTACACAATTAATCCACGATCCTGCTTAATTTGATTGTGGTCCTCATTTCTTCCATTCGAACGGAGACGTAACGCATTCCTGTATGCATATTACTTAATAAATTGTATTCTTTTATTTTGATATATTGTAATTACAAGATGTTCCAATTCGCCTTAGAACTATATGGTGGGAAATTGGTATTGGTTTGAGTGTGGTACTTAGGCTAATGCTCGTATGCACAATTCCAATCTCTAGGTACTGCGCAAAATGGCCAACGAGGAGCGTGTAGAAGATCTTCTTTCTGCTCAAACGGAGATTCTGCAATCTGGAAGCGGTGGAGCTTTGGCGATGCCTTCGGCAGCACTCCCATCTCCTACCTCTTCGTCGTTAAGTTCTGCTGGCTCAATATTGCCAAATAGCCAACAACAGCAACAAGCTGATAATGTCGAAACTATGATGCCTGAAGGTGCTACAGGCGCTTGTGCTGATGATGCCTCATGCCAGCCTGTCAGACTGGCATTAGAGTGGCTATCTACCAGGTAAATGACTAGCTTGGCTTCTTCCAAACCCTCAAATTCCTATTTGCTATTGTTAAGTTTCGTCTATTGTTGCTCCTTCATGCTCTGGTGGTATTTTCAACACCCCCAAAGGCGTCCATATCTGTTATTTCTATTCCCATTCGCACTCTCTTTTGGCTGCATTGGGTTTTATCTCATTGGCCGTGTTATCGAATCAGAGTAACATTTTTGTATGTCCTGTTATCTGGCATTTGTACAAAATGTGCACACAAATATCATCTATCTTTGATTTGCAATTAGGGAGTTACTGACTCTTTGCCTTTCGTTTTAAAAACGCGAATCTGAAAAGTGTTAACTAGTCAAGAGAGTAATTAAATGCGGAACCTCCCCTGCTCATGCTATTATCGTCTTTGACTGGACAGGTCTGTCAAGGATGAAAAAACCTGTATAAATTTTTCCTTTGATAAATTGTCTGTAATTGACTTTAAAAGAACTTTTATATCATTGTCCTGTTTCTATATTTGAATTATCTCAAGGTCATAATTAAATTTTGCTAATGCCTTTGTGGCTTTTATTCAGCGGAAACACACACACACACACAATCTTCTCTAATGATTTTAACTTGAAGTATTATCTCTGCAGATTTGGTGATCGAGTGACGGAGGCGGTTCGAATGTTCTGTCTTCTCTCAGTCACTCATGATGGTCTAAGCGAAGAACTCTATGGCGCTGTGGTGCGGCACATCCAACACGCAGTGGGCTTCTCCATTTATCCCATGTTGGTGGCTTTGGCACGGCTACGGCTTCTTTATCCGCGTAGAGCTACAACAACGACAAGTAAATCAGGGAATCAGAATTCGGCGGAAGTAGAGGAGGCAAAGTCGACTCCTAGACCTTCAGTTCTTAGAAGAGCACTCGTGCCTGCGGGCCTGAGTGGAGAGAAATTTGCTAATGCCACTGAGAGGCTGATCAAGAGAAGAAAATCACTTTACAAGTAACTTTTTTTCCAATTATTTCCATTCATCTTCTTCCGATTTTCATATTCAGTTTTGCTTTAATTTGGAAGCGATAAATCGTGGGGGAGGGGGGGGGGCATGTTGTAAAGTGGTTTCGAAAGTTATCATGGTTTAATTAATGGCTAATTACGGCTTTTAACTGTTAAGGAATTGGTTAATGTCTCAATTCTTAATTCTCCTGTGATGAACACTTCATGGGTAATAGTGGCATAACACATTACTATGAAGACCGTTTTTTGGCATAATACGCTGAAGTTGCTTGCGAATTTGGCGATGGTACATTGTCCGGTGGATAGACAAAGTATATCCGACATTGTTTTTTCAAGTTCTGATCAAAATCTTTATCTGTCACCAGCGTGCCAAATTTCCATCTTACGCAAGTGCAATTCTTTGCTGGAGAATGCGAAAAAAATACTCATTGAGCATAGAAATGCGTTCATTCAGTTAATTGTATTAGTAGAATTTGAAATCATATTCCCAAATGTGCGTAACAGGCGTTATTTTTTATTTAAAAGGTAGGCACATTGTAGTCGATTTGAACCCATCTGCATTAAGAAATCTTAAATGCTACTTGACAAATGGCACCTCATTTTCTTGCAGCCGATTGCATCGCCAATTACAATTGAGCATGCGTTCGCAAGTGAATCTTGGAGTCGAGAAGCCTCCTCTCTCTCCGGCCTATGTATTCGGTGGCCAACACGTTCCACTAGTGGTACGTTTCACCGAATCGCTCTGGGCTCAGGGTCTACTTGGCACCAACACCACAGCCCCACCAACCGGTCGCTCTTCCCTACTCACTGGTCCTGAACTTCTCTCAAAAGAGCAATTATATCGTGCTCTTACACTCCTCCACACTGATGAGCGATGTAAGCACTTTTTCAGTGATGACTTTCTAAAAACCTTCAATCTCACTGCTATCACTGGAAAAGCGTTCGAACTTGATACTACCACTGTGAGCTTAAATTTATCCTTGTCCTTTTAGCTGCGATGAATCTTGGTCGAGTGTCACTTAGGTCTAAAGATGGTGGAGAAGAGAAGTGTGGAATGTGTTCGCATGGACAGATTGTGGTAGTTGCATTTGTGGGCGGTTGTACCTATGCAGAAGTGGCAGCTTTACGGTTCGCAGCATCTAGACGCTGCTGGCGTCTTCTTATTGCAACATCGCAGATTCTTTCCACCAAATCTATCATTCATCAAGTTGGTCAGGCCGCTTCTCTCTAGAAGACTTCACGATTATTCTTTTATTTCCTATCCCTTTGTGCTTTCTATCTAGTTCCATCGCTTATTGTGCACTGGCTGTGTTTGTGATTTCCTTCGAACGTTTTTTACGCTATTTTCGTGGGTGTGTGTGTGTGTGTGTGTATATTTCAGTAATCATTTTTAAAGTACATTGTTTTTATATTTCACTCGTCTGTTTTCAATGGGGGGATGGTGGTTAAGTATTCTAACAGATGGGACATTTCATTAGCCTTAAATCACTGTTAAATTGCAAAGATGCAAAGAATGCAGAAATATCTTATTTCAGTACCATCAAGGCTAAGAAGTAACTACGATTTGAGTTTTTTGTGGAGATACCTAGTTGAAGGGAGGTTAGAAAATGTCACCATGATCGATGGAGTAGGATCGTGATAAATAAGCTGGCACAGTTTGTTATCAAAAAAAAACGAGTTTCAATTTGGAATTGCCGTTTCATGAAAAGCATATGACTATTTATAGGACTTGGCAAGCGAATTCTAAGAAGTATCTAAGGAGGTAATTAGATAGAAACATTGAAATAGACTACAGAAGACGTTCAATGTTCAGGTCATAATCCAACCAACCAATGTTGAAACGTGAGAGCTTTGCCTTAACAACTGGTTAATACGTAAGGGATGGAGTAGGCCAGCATACCGATATGGGAACGATAAGCAACTCAGAGACTACTTGGAAGACGCAAATATCACTTTAAAGGGAAACAGCTTAGACCTTGCTACGTGCAATCCTTTTGTCAGTCTAACATCATCAATTAAAGTTATTTAGATGAGGCAATTAACTATGCGGTGACATAGGGTCTCTGAGATGGAAATAAGTACCAAGAAGTATACGGTTTATGAACAGTTATGAACAGTTATTTGACATCAGACTAAACCAACGCCACTAAGGGCTATGAGGACTGCTCAATATTTGGCGTGTCATTGCCAATGGCTACACTGAACTCCAAACTCGGATTCCATTCAGGGAGCAAATCTGATGTAACAAAGTTTTCTGTGTACTTTTAACATTCGGGGAACTTCTTGATTTTTAAATAATACAAATGTTTGCTAATGATGAGCTTTTTATTGTCATCATGCGCGAGAGATTGGATCATTTATTTATTTCAAATAGCGGGTTTTATGAAACTTTTCATTAGCCCCTTAGCTGACTTCTGGCTTCACATCAAAGCGAGAAAAATGTGGTGGGGGGAGCAGAAGAGTGATTAAAAGATGTTAAAGAGACAGACGCAAAGGCAGAGAAAAGGTAGGATAAGTATGATGGAAGTGTTTGAATATGACGTACAGTGGGGTCATGGCAATTTGTAGTCAGAATTCAACTTCCGGTTTTGGCCTTTTTGTCGTATGTGTATACGTTGCCCAGGGTGCACCACGTGGAGGTAATTCTATCTCACCCCGAGATTGAATCACAAAACTATAATAGAATCTAGGGAAGAGTCCGTGGACAGATATTTTGCTGACAGTTTAAAAATGAACAAAAATTAGAAGGATATGAAAGAGGTGAGTACCAATAGATTAAGATAATAATTGTGATAGATGGTAATGCGCAGCTATGGTATCACAAATCTCAAAGTGTATGACTCATATAAGTATGGTGGAAATCGATGTGATAATACAAAGGAAGACTGGTGAGTCATAGGCTATGTGCAACAAAAGAAGAATCAACCTTGAAAGAAATCAATAAAACTATTCCCTGTTGACAATCATGTCACCACCAATTATTCGCCACTTTCATTATTTTTATCACCATTTGGCAGTAAAGACAATACATTTAGTCGTTTAACTACCAACAAATAAATAGCTGAATTAAAATGATCTTGACAATTTATCCGAGTTCATTTTAATTCAATTTCAATTAGCTATCAGTTAATGGTAGGAAGCTTGAAGTTGGTAGTTATTTTTGATAGTGAATTTCATAAAGACAAATTATGAATAATTTAAATTGACAAACATGGGATAAAGTTTTTGTAAATAATATCAAAAGCACATTTCATATGACCATTTGACTATTCAAATATTGATTTTTACCACGCTTTCATTATTTACAAACAAATTAAGAGCATTTCAATGGGTCACAATTCATCCAAATTTATCTTGAAAGGCACCGGCTATCAGTTGAAAATGCCTACTGATGAGGAGGATCCTGTGAAAGGTGATTCAGGCATCAAGAGTGAAGAAAGTATTGATCCGTCCACATTGCCTACCCCGAAATTTTTCATGAATTGCTGCAATGGATCGCATATGTAAGTTAGTTAATACCTCCTCGGAGAAAAAACTAGCTACGTAGATAAAATTTTCGAAATTAATAACAGATTAGATTAAGGAACTAGCTGGACTAAATCGGAGCAGAATGCATCGTTACTCAGAGAGGAATAAAAAAGCCAATTTTAATGATAATTTCTCCACAAGGTCACGTTGTCTCTCATGACTCTAGTCCAAACCATTGATCGTGGATTATTCTAAAGTGTGATCATACCATTTCAACTTTTTTCTTAGTAGCCAATGATTAAGCATGATGGTGCTTGTTACTTGATTTCAATATGTCAAGAGGCAACAGAGTCCACTCGCTATGATAGCAGCTTCAATAGCTATTTATTTGAAGGCTAAATTAATCTGATATTTCAATGCATCTTAGTTCTAAACTATTCGACACACATTCACCTGATACACCTGACCACCTTTTTACTTGAAAATGTGAACACCATTACTCAAAATGTCCTTTCGAGATCATTTCTGTTCCTGTTATTAATAGATATTATTTAAGCTTGAGGAATTATTTTTTACTCGTATTGTTTCACTGGATATATGAGGCTCAAATTTAGTCCATTGCTTCTTTAATATTGCCTGAATAATATAGCGTTTTAGAAACCTTTCTGACAAATTCAAAATTCTATTGCCATATTTGAATGTTGGGGTGAGAGAAGTGGGGTGAGAGGAGGGGGTTGTAGAGGGAGGAGAGGAGGAGCCTATATTTTCATTCATTTAAATTTAAATCAGGTACAATTGGAGCAATTAGTGGGGAACAAGGCGAAACAATGAAAATGTCATCTAGAATGGCACTGTAAACTCACCACTACCTGATTTACTTTCAAAAACGGCATTCAACTGCAAATTCCCCAATAAATCCACTTGTGAAAACGCATTTAAAAGTTTCATTAGGAAAATTAGTTAAGCTGAAAACAAATATCATTAATTATAATCTAATGCTCATTACTTATTTTTAGAGTACTCCCTCAGTTGAAACGATTAGGGTGGAGTCGTGTAACCGATAAAAATGATCTCGAGAATTGTGTCCTCAAGTGGACTGAAACAGTAACACAACAGAATTATCAAGATTTCAAAGAGGGCGAATGCATGGTACGTCTTGATGTTAATTGGAATGCTGTAACTATTTTCATTGCGCCATTTAAGTTTTATCATATTTAAGTTAATGTAAACCATCACATTGTGAGACTCCTCTAATGCCTTAAAGGTAAATCATATACCAAACTGCGGTCTCTTTTGTAATAAATTGGGACTACTAATGACACTTCGAAGTTTCTCTGAGAGAATTGGATTTGAGGACAATGAAGAAACTCCCTTCAATTTTATCCCAGAAACTTACTGGCTTGGTAACTCAAACGAGAGGACAAAATTTTTGAATCAATTATCAGGTATGTTCACCTATTCTTAAACAATGATATATCTACCCAACAATCCATTGTTTCTTAGGATATTATAAAAAAGATTGGCAAATATGAATAAGACTTATTGTGTGATGTTGGTTAAAAATAATTTACAAAGTAACCTTAACATGACAAGGAAAAAGCATTTGCCTAGGCACGATGAGAATAAATGGTATTATGGCCTTCAGTTACTAGATTGACATACGCAAGCCAAAAAATTGGTCTATGTATAAATTTAGATTTTTCTACTTCCAAATGGAATGAAATCGATTTTTTAATATTAATCTCTAAACTAAATTGCTCAATGACAGAGCTTGTAACGGCATATCAAATATTGATTCATACTGATATTCGACTTCGATCTAAAATGTTGAAGCATTTGCAAAATAAATCCTCTTCCTGTTAGGTGAGGGAATTTGGATTATGAAGCCTTGCGGTTCAAATCAAGGAAAAGGCATCTGTCTGGTACACTCAAAGAGGGAATTCCATAAAATTGAGCGAGCTCATGGAGAAGCATTTCATCAAAATCGAATTGTTCAGAGGCATGTTCTATTAATTTCAATAACTATATTTCGTGAATATTTTCTAGATACATCACTTCCCCTTTGTTGATAAATAAGAGGAAATTCGATATTCGCTGTTACTTGATGATAGCAAGTACACTGCCCTATCTAGTGCTATTTGCGCCTGGTTACATTCGACTTTCTCTTCACAAATATGACGTCGATGATACCAGTCTAATTACTCATCTCACAAATCAAGTAAATCCCGACAGCATAAAAATACGTTTCCATTATTATTTCCGATCATTGCACTTTAAATCGCTCCATTTTATAACTCCCTAATATATATATATATATATATATATATATTTATTTATTTATTTATTTATTTATTTTTGTATTTCAGTGTATTCAGAGGAAAGATCCAGCATATGCTAACTCAAAAGAAGATTCTGTGTGGACGTTTTCAATGTTAAATGAGTATATTAATAAAAACGTTGCTCAAGAGAAGAAATTGCCATACAATTGGGTTATGCGAAAACTCTTGGTAGTCCATTTTATTTTGTCTTCAATATAATTTTAACTCGAAGCAAATTAAAATTAGTAATTTTAGGAACTGGGTGATACTAAAGATGAGTTCTGATACTATTTTGTAGCCCGAAATGAGGAAAATATCGAGACGCGTTTTCAACGCAGTGAAGGAAAAGCTTGCCTGTAGAATAGGATTCTTCGAAATCTACGGAATGGATTTCATGGTTGACGATGATATGAAGGTAATTCTTTTAGCTAGAATATTATTCTATTCAAATTTGAGGTCTGGTTAATTGAAATCAACACCAACCCAGCAATGACTACCAACTGTGAGGTTTTAAAACACGTCATTCCGCCGATTGTCAAGCGCTTTATTAGTAAGAATTGAAACAAAAATTCTTAAATTTGTTCATTTTTAAATTTTGAGAAACGTTTAATTTAATATTTATTTACCTGGTTGTATTAATACACAAAATGGTTTTAAACTAATTTAGTAGGTTCTATTGGTAATTAGAACTCATTTTAAATTTAATTAAATCTTTCTAAAATTTAAGATATTAGCATTGAATGCTTTGAAAAGGCTCGTCGATGGCAACCCCTCTTGCCGATTCGTGGAATTTTTCCGCGCAATTCCGCTAAATACCATTCCATATCCTGGAACATAGGGCTGAAAGAACGTCAAGAGTACTTTAACAATAATGGTCTACCCTCATCCTTTTCGGTTTTGTATAATGAACGATTATCATCTGCTATATCGCGTCAAGCTGGCTGTTACAAGATTCCTTTGGAGCCATGGTTACCACCCAAGCCAACTTTCTTGTTCACCTCGACTGGAACATCACCATTATCGATTAAAATATTCCCGAGGTCTGTCCCAGATCAACTGTACAAACAAGAGGATTTTAAAAAAGCTAAAACAGGTCGATCTTCTAGTGCTTCCTTTAAAGGAGTCGGTATTCGATCATACGGTTCGAGCCAACCATTCAAGAGAGATCGGGGGTCTTCTTTACCAAAGTTTATAAACTTAGCATCAAGAAAAAGTAAAGCGAAAGGAACATATTGTGAAGGGGATGATGATATCCTAAGGCAGTTGGAAATATCCAAAAAATTGCTCAGTAATTTCGAAAATTATGAAAAGCTGAAGAAGTTGCCTAAAATTTCAATTGAACCTGGTGATATGTTGCGATTTATTCAAGGTGTTAGATTCACGTCTAAGGAAAGGAATATTATTTAAAGTGAACCTTTCGATAGTTTTGCATATGAGGAAAAAAGATACCATTGGCTTGAAAAATCGAAATAACAAGCTATTTTGAATTCTGTTACTTTCTTTGGTAGCTTTCTTCTTTGCAAGGATTGAGTTCGGAGAAAATTTTATGTGCACGGTTTGTATTTTTCTCGAACAATGACCTATTGCCAAATTCCTAAAATGGATATGATTTTAGTTTGTGTTAGGAGATGAGAGTACTTGTTATGGTATGTTCGTGAATTGCACGATACAAATTGTTAATTATTTCTTTTTAATAAATATTAATTTACCAAATCGATATAGAAAAATCGAAGTTTGGTTTTTTCGTATTATAAATAAAGAAATTAGCTGTATTCGAAATTCGCTGCATATTGTTTTACCAATAGCTTATACATAAGAAGTTTGAATGGGACTAGAGGAATATTTTGTCAAACTTTGAAGACCACCATGTAAATATTGTCAATCAACGTGGATCACGATGGACAGTTTTCGCATTATATTAAAAGTCCCATGTTAATGCAGATCCGATTACTATATAGATGACCCAACAGATAAATCAAAAAGTTAATAAATAATTGTAATTATGGGCTGGTAAATTTGATAGATTCTTTACAGTTATGATTATTATAGCCTCATTTACTCAAAGCGTACAACCGTTTTACAATAATTTGCTCATCATGCTAATCTTCATTAGGTTTCGTAAATTTAGATCGCAATACGTGGTTATATATATTAGAGCATTTGATGCATAAATGAATTCAATCTAAGAGAAGTTTTTTTATAAATGACAAGGCAAATGTTTGTATCACAATTGAGAGACTATTTTCCACAAATGAGAAATGTGTAGATGGAATTGTTGAAACTACTAAATAAAAAAGCCTAGCGTAAAAAATAACTTAAAAGTTTACCTGGATATGATCACCTTTTACGACATTAACCATATTGATTTATATTTTTAAATTTAAAATTAATATAGTGGTTAATATATATGTAAACATTTTTGAAGCTTTCAAGTACTTGTTTAGGTTCTTTTTTTAGCAAGCGCTCAGTTCAGACATCCGTCTTGTGATTTGTTTTCTATTGTGTTTTTACGCTCGGCCTGAATATGGATCTTAAGCGTTCTTTTCCAGCAATGTCCATGGTTCCAGTACCAAGCAAACGCGCTAGAATAGGCGATACACAGGCCATTGCGCCATATCAAATTCAGAAGTCAAATCAGGGGCAGATTATTCCGGCGGGCATGGCTGGTAGTATGCAGCGTACCTCAAGCCTTCATAGCCCCAATATGCTTCTTACTGGGCATGAAAGTGAGGTTTTCTGTGTTAAATTTGTCCCATCAGATGGCAATTACGTTGTTAGTGCTGGATTTGACCGACAGGTATTTGTTTGGGAAACTTATGGAGAATGCGACAATATTGCAGTCATGCCTGGTATACATTTTCTACAATGTCCTTTTTTGAGCTAAGCAGCGTTTCTTAGTTCTTAACTATTCTTTTTCGTTCAGGTCATGGCGGCGCTATTCTTGATTTGGCTCTCTCCACAGATGGCGAGTTTCTCTACTCTGCCAGTTCGGATAAAACCGTCGCAATTTGGGACCTCAATGTCTGCCAACGGGTTAAAAAGATTCGCGGTCATCAAAATATTGTAAATAGTGTTGGCATTGCCCGTCGTGGTCCACAAATGGTCGTTTCTGGTTCTGATGACGGCACTGTTCGACTTTGGGACAGACGTCAGAAGACGGAGGTTCAGAATTTCCAAAATACATACCAGGTATACATGCATAATTACTTCTTAAAATCTCATGGTTAATTTTATATGTAGTTTGAATGTTTTCAGGAATTTTCATTGATCAAAATGTATGATCCTTTGAACATTATTTATATCAAATGGCAGGCGTTCTGATAGTTATCATTAGCCCTTTAGTTGACTTCGGGCTTCACACAGGGGAGGGGGAACATCAAAGTGAAAAAAAGTCTTGGGGGGGGGGAGACAGAAGAGTGATTCAAAGATGTAAAAGGTAGAAAAAAGGTGAGGTGAGTACCGCGAAAGTAGTCGAATATGACATACACTGGGGTGATGGTGGTTTGGAGTCAGAAGTCAACTGCCGGTTAATAGACTTTTTTGCCGTATGAGTATACGTTGCCCAGGGTGCACCACGTGGAGGTAAGTCTATCACACACCCCATCCTTTGAACATAAGTCCATATTAGATTCTTACTTTATGTCATTGTAATTTTAGTAATTTCAATCTGAGATTTGTCGTTCATGTTATGTTCAAATGAAACGTGTTACTATATCTTAATTCAACTTATCAGCTAATTTTAGTTTCTTTTATATCAATGTTTTATTTCTCTTCGTTTGATTTTGATTAAGAAATGAATGTAGAAACATAAGATTCGGAAAATGAACAACAAATTTCCTTGCGTTCAAATCGCAGTGGGCTGCGTTTCAATGGTGAGCTTTTTCCTTCCGCTGTATCCTAGCACCCGCACAGCTCCGAATCAATAGGTTAGGCTTGATCCTTGTTCTAAATAATTTTGACTGTTAACATAAGTATTACCACGAAAGTATTTCGCATATATCTCTTAGTTGCTAGTGTTCCGTTGACTAATCTTCGTGGTTTTTGCCTTTGGTTGTCTAATTTTCACTTAGTAATATTCTGATGTCTCCAAGATCATTTTTCATCTTCTATCGATTCCCGATGTTCGGAGCTTGTTGACCACTTGAATAGTCTGGTTCATTTGTATATTTCCTTACAGCCATGGTCATGTAAGTTTTACTATTTAAAGTGTTTTGAACAGCGGGATCCACCGTACCTGTCCTTGCTTACATTTCTTTTATTCCCAATTTATTTTATCGCTATATGCTTTTATACTGCAGTATTATATTAAATTCCTGTTGTAGTTCACTCATCTTCAATTTAAACACTGGGGTTTTAATAATTACATCTGCTTTTATGAATTTCAGGCTCAGTTATTGTGTTATGGGTTGTGTCAGAGACGTTGTACACCCCTCACTTTCCTCTAAAATTATTTTATGATTGGTGTTTTTACTAGTTGTACTCTGACGCCGGTCGGATCTCTACTTCATCAGGGCATAAGATCCACCGATATCCTTCTTGTTCTGCAGGATATAGGTCTTTATTTTCTTGTTAAGAAAGAATTGCCATTGAAATTCTAGGTTCATATAATATAGGGTAGAATACTTTGCATCTTTTGTTTTTACCGCCCTTATAACAGAAATCGGCCGAACTAATGTGATGAAATTGTTCCTTCATAGGTACTCTCAGTTACTTTCAATGATACTGCAGAATTGATCTTCTCTGGAGGAATTGATAACATAATCAAGGGCTGGGATCTGCGTAAGTTAGATGTGGCAATGCGGTTAAATGGACATACGGATACAGTAACGGGTCTGGCCCTCTCACCAGATGGAAACTTCCTTCTCTCCAACTCCATGGACAATACCCTTCGTATTTGGGATGTCCGACCGTATGCCCCACCTGAACGATGCACTAAAGTAAGTCATTTCTTTGTAGAATATTCTTTAACTTACTGGTTCTCTAAAACTCACCACTATACATTCAAATCATCTGATGGTTAGCTCATTAAGGCTATTGTTTATTACTGAAATATTTTATTGAAATTTGAGTAGTGTTTTAGATAGAATACGTATTTAGTGATTGAGACTTTCGTGCTGATTTTTAGAAGAGATGAAAAGTTTGCCGTGTCTTATTCAAAAATTTGTACGCCGGCGGGATAGCAGTTAACGTCCTCACTAGCGAATTCATAAGCCACAGTTTCGACACCCGTGGCACTGTACTGGGTGAGCGGAATGATTAAGCCTTGTTAATGAAAAGGATGGTAGAATTGGAGTTTCTAATTGGGAATGCTTCATGATGCGACTTAGCTCTAGGAGTTCTTACCTCCACTTGAAGGTTTAATGAGATGTTTTCATCACCATAATGTCAGCTTTATTTCATTCTGCAATGTCCACCTCATATGTTTAAATTGGATTTGCTCTGAGCCCTCAGTCACACCTTACTGGATAGTTCACTTTTTTATGCCTTATATCTTATTTGATATGCGATTTAGGTAGAATAATTTAAAGATGATTGTAATTTCTGAGTGTTTTCTCCATTACTGCTTATCGCCTTTAGTTTATGTAGTATTTCCCTGCTCTGTGGACTTGATCGGTTTAGTGTTAAAGAAAAGGAACAAAATTTGTTGAAATGATGTCGCTTTAGGCACATGAATCTCTATCATCATGTCTATCGATGGCGAACAATGCAAATCTTATCTACGTGCTTACTTCCTTTCTCATTCATTTCAGGGTTTTCCTTGACCTCTAATGATGGCAAGCTTTGCTAGACCCTAACAGTTTCTATTTTGAGAGTCGTCTATCTTGACAGTTTCGTGAAAAGTGTACAGACGGTATTGGTTGGATAAAACTTCACTTTGAGAGCTAAATATTCAGGTTTTACAACTGTAAGAATGGCGATGGTGCCTTGCCAATTTACCTCCAAATGCAATGATGTAAATTCAAAATTAATTATTGTGGTTATAAAATCGAAGATCGTACTTCCGTGCAATCCACATGTGCCTTGTTGGTTTGTTATAAAACGAAACCCAAAAGCATTTTCTAGTTGGCTATTAGTGATTTTTACATTTGTTTTTGTCCTATCTCTCCTACAACGATAATATGATACTTTTCTTTATCTTCCCACAGATTCTCTACGGGCACATGCACACTTACGAGAAGAATTTGCTGCGTTGTGCTTGGTCTGCTGACGGTCAATACGTCACCTGTGGCAGCGGTGATCGCTATGTCCACGTCTGGGACGTAAAGACTCGCAACTTAATTTACAAACTGCCCGGACACTCGGCTTCTGTCAATGAGACCGCTTTTCATCCCCGCGAACCCATTCTTGCTTCCGCCGGAAGCGATAAGAAAATTTTCCTAGGCGAACTTGAATTGTAAATTGCTAAATAGTCGTGCTGTTTTATGTATACATTTTTACTTTAAAGGGATGTTTTACATTTTTCAGGTGCTATATTAGTAGAAATGACGTTAATAGTCTTTTAAAATGCTAAGGTTGTCGCAGTTTCTACAGTTTGAAGAAAAGCTGGTCCTTAGAATGTGGATATTGTTCTACAGTTAGGAGAGGCTAGCATCATCATAAACTACTTATGATCATAGGATGTGCTCTGGGGCGCGTGAGGTGTATGTTCGCTGTCTTGTGCATAGTCATGATTATGCCACTAGTGAGAAGGTTACTAAACCAAAATCATGTTTAAGAAACTGGCCAAATCGATGAGTAATTGATGGTAAAGCTAGCAGTAGAAGTTAGTCGCCAATTTGTTTCTTGGCAAATACTGCTTATAGTCCTCCATCATGAGATTACGTAGTTGCTTTACAAGGTAGCCTACAAATATTTTGTCGAAAGGAAGTAACAAGTTCGCACTCCATTGCTAATCACGACCTTACTATCACGCTTTCCATGTATCTCCCAGTCTCTAAGATATGTGCTAATATAATTCTCTTTTATCCTGAATATTAATATGTGCAATATTTTGAAATTAAAGCAAATTATTTTAATTTCATAAGCGTGAAGTTGAAAATTTGTAAAGAGTAATGCTAGCAATACAACAGCATTGATTAAATTAAGTATCGAGAAAAGTGACAAGAATATACTAAGTTATATTATTTTGGTAAAAGCTAATAATGCTGGTATTAAATAAAAAATTGCTAAATTTATTCTAATTTTGGCATTGATATCAGAATGTCAACAGATTAATATCAAAAATATGCAAAAATTTGTCGAAATTTTATCCGTTAAAATGTCCAAACTTAGTTGTCAACGAATTAAAAGGCGTTATTTAAATGCAGAATTCGATACATTTTCTCAATGACCTTTGTTGTTTTACATTTTCCAGACGCTAATATCTTTCAAAATGCCGAAACCACGAAAATCGAGGTCAAATTAGATTACAAACTCTTATTTATTGATATTTCAAGATTAAAACCTATGTATATGCGATGCAAATGCACTATCTTAAATAGTTTTATTGTATTAAATAGTTAATTTTTAATTGACAAAACATTATCATAAAATTAAACAAATTTCTAGAAAGAAAACTGCTAAGAAAAGATACTCTGGATCACGCAGTTCAAAAAAACCAAAGTCATCCTCTCGCGCATCAAGTGGGAGGACACCACATAAGACAAGACCCCGTTCCAAGTCTAAAACAGCTCGGAAATTGGTATATAGTTTATTTATATATTATCTTCTAAGATAGCTATAACAAGATCGGCTAAAAAATATCAAAGTGACATTGATAAATATTTAAGTTGGCTCCATCGTGTGCACTTGTGGTTTTCATCTAAACTGGAAAATATATGGGAAATCGTTTGCAGTATACATGCCGCTGAACTTGAAAGTATTACTTATGATAGCTTTAAGGCTAGTAAGTTTCTGATATGCTATTATGAATAAATTCAGTCTTACTGGATGTTGGGGCGCCATTCAATGATGTGGAGATACATCTCCTTGCTATGTTGCTTGACCCTGAAGCAGAAGGGTTTATTCAAATCAAGAAATTCTCTCAGGGTATTCATGAGATTTGGTAGGCTATAAAATAACTCAAATTCTTAATCAATTATTATTTTAATGTGCTAATTAGCAAAGAAGAGGAAATGAGAGTAACAAAGTTACTTCCTTCTCCTTTGATCAAACCACTTGTCCGGTATGTTTTAGCTCTTAGATAATAAATTATATATGTTTCATCAAACTAGATGGGTTCGGATAAATTTTATGAATGCAACAGTAGCTTCTGTACCCTTTCATCCACTCCACTTTCAGGAAGACGTTCCATCATTTTACACAACAGACTTACTTATTGATATCATTCGGTGAGTCACGAATTGCAAGTGGTCTGCTGGAATCGTCGTAATTAGTAACTATGTGTGGATTCCTTTCCAGCCGCAAAACTTACGCTTGTGCGCCATCTATAAAGCTATCTATTAAGCGTAATGCTACCCCAACACAGGAAATCCATCAAATTGGGGCCACACTCACTCAGTTGGGTGTTAAAGGGGGGACTAAATTTGCCCCAGAGGAAGTGACCATTCTTTACGAATCAGAATACAAATGTGATTCTTCTGTAGCAAGATCCTGTACCACATCTTTTGAAAACTGCCATCTTTTGTGGGATGAGGCTCCACTGTTGTCAGAAGAAGTAATTGGCAAGGACTTCAGGACAACGACAATGGATGAAGCTTCCAACACAGCTAGTGAGTCTTCAGATGAAGATTCTGATGCTAGCTCAATCGTTTCCTTGGCCACATATGTCACCATGGCACAGGTAAATATGAACAAATTTTTGATATGCTACTGAAATGCCTTAAGTACTTAATTATTTTGATGTAAATTTATAATGACTCTATTGCGCTTTTGATCGGCTAAAATGAGCTATTCGGCCTCTCGTTATGCAAACTAGAAAGGTACAATTGGAAAGTTTGGCAATGCAAAAGACACTATGGGGAACTTCGCACTCGGACATTTTGAACGCCCGAGAACCGACTAAATCATTACTTAGGAAGTGTAAAATAATTGCTTTTTTTACTGCGGTACAATTAACCAGTTTTCACGGGAAATAAAATTAGATTTTAACTTAAATTTCACGACCTATGTCCAAGATTGCAACGACTGGTTGCTCACAATTTATAGACCAATTAATAAGGTTTATTTTGTCGCACCAATTCGCTTTTTCTACGAGTGATTGGAAAGGCAGGTAATCTAATATAGCATTTACTAATTGGCATTTCTAACAACGCCATATATGACGTCATTAAACCAAAGAATTGCTCTGTAGTGTTGATACTGTCACGTAGTAGGGTACATAATTCCCGCTTAGAACAACACTGCCCATTGAATTCCATGTAAATTATCCGTTCAAAGCATATCGTAGTCATTAGTTGGACAATCATATTGATCTCATCTCTCATAGATCCCGCCAGTTTAGATGCTGTTAACTGTCTGCTATATAAGGCAACAATTATAATGCATTCCATAAGGGCTTTTTTACCATACTTATTGCTAAAAGCACTTCAAAAACGGTTTAAATAGGCCATCTATTGTTCCGTTTTGAAGGCAAGAGCTTAGAAACCACTGAAGTAGAGTGGAGAAATGTTGCTAAGCCATTGTTCTTTCTAACTTTTGATATCTTCACCACAAATGAAATATTAAGTCGAGAGATGTATCGATTGTAGGATTTTGGACGCGTAATTAGGATTGAAGATGATTGTACAGTTGTATGGCGCTATGTTAAAGGAAAAGTCGTTGAAACTTCATACATTTCATTACGCCTTTATGCATATAAAGTAACCCTATATATAACTCTATAAGGGGGGCGCGATAGACCTACCTCCATGTACTGTATCCTGGGCAACATATACTCATACGGCAAAAAAGTCTATTAACTGGCAGTTGACTTCTCACTNAGTGAGAAGTCAACTGCCAGTTAATAGACTTTTTGCCGTATGAATATATGTTGCCCAGGGTGCACCACGTGGAGGTAAGTCTATCTCACACCCCGTGTAGGGTAAATATTTAATTCCACGTTTTAATTATTCAAAATACCTTTCAAGCTACCTTTATAAAAAATCGGGTGGAGGCAAATCCAAGGTCATAATAAAATTCCAATGGGTGTCTCTGGCGCGCCCTAGCAAATGAATAGCAGTTGTCCCAAGTAGACGCGAGTGCCGATTCTTCCTTTAAATTAATCTTACTATGGGCACAAATTCCAACTTAGGTGCACAGCCATCTTCTTCTGTGTGAATTTGTTAGCATCGAAATTATAGTTGCATTAAAACCAGCAGGCAGCTTCAGTAAGACGAAATGGAACTCAGATCCGCAGGCTGAATCGTAGAGTCCCCATGCATCAGATGTAGGAATTCTAAATAGGCAATGGAACTGAAAATGAAAAAAATAATGAAATCTGTTAATGTTTTCATTGATATTTGCGTGTTGTGATTGGCCATTTGAATCATTTTTTTTAAATTGAAAACTGCTACCTTTGGAGAAGAATATTGATAACAGTATCAGCCACTATCTCTTCGTTTTGAGGAACAGGAACAACCAAATTTATATCCCATGTTCCAATTGATTCAAAAGCCAACATTTATTATTATTTCAAATGGCAGGCTTTTTGATATTTATCATTAGCCCTTAATCTTTGACTTCAGCTTCCCCCATGGGTGGGGGGGGGTACAATATAGCAGTCAATTAAAAGCAGTTCATTAGCCGTCTTCTTGCTTCCCAGTATCTCTGGCTTTCCGTTGTTGTCTTTAGGGCTGGACACCGAATTAGGTGGGTCTTCTACATTTCCTCCTGTAGGTTACATAGAGGGCATGTGGGTTGAGTGTATACTCCCAATCTGTGAAGATGTTTTGCCAAGCAATCGTGTCTGGTACGTAGTCTAAACTCAGCAACGGCTTCGATTCTTGGCCAGTCGGCTATGTCGGAGAGTGCCACTGTCCACTGCTTCTCCTTTATTCGAACTTTAAGTTCGTTGCACCTTGAGGTCTGGAATTCTCTCCTGATTAAGGCCTTCATTGTGTGGAAAGACATCGGCCAGTCCATGCAATGCAAAATCGTTGTCCCCTTCTTAGCAAGTGTGTCAGCAAGCTCATTGCCTTTAATGCCACAGTGACCAGGAATCATATAAAGTGTCAAAAATGGCTAGATTTCAGGCTTAGGACCGAAAAAATTCATAAGAATAGTAGAAGGAACCNGTCTATTAACTGGCAGTTGACTTCTCACTGTATGTCATATTCCCCAACTTTCACAGTACTCTTCTTACCTTTTCTCTGCCTTTGTGTCTGTTTGTCTCTTTTACTTCTGTGAAACACTCTTCTGCTCCCTCTCTCNACAATATAGCAGTCAATTAAAAGCAGTTCATTAGCCGTCTTCTTGCTTCCCAGTATCTCTGGCTTTCCGTTGTTGTCTTTAGGGCTGGACACCGAATTAGGTGGGTCTTCTACATTTCCTCCTGTAGGTTACATAGAGGGCATGTGGGTTGAGTGTATACTCCCAATCTGTGAAGATGTTTTGCCAAGCAATCGTGTCTGGTACGTAGTCTAAACTCAGCAACGGCTTCGATTCTTGGCCAGTCGGCTATGTCGGAGAGTGCCACTGTCCACTGCTTCTCCTTTATTCGAACTTTAAGTTCGTTGCACCTTGAGGTCTGGAATTCTCTCCTGATTAAGGCCTTCATTGTGTGGAAAGACATCGGCCAGTCCATGCAATGCAAAATCGTTGTCCCCTTCTTAGCAAGTGTGTCAGCAAGCTCATTGCCTTTAATGCCACAGTGACCAGGAATCATATAAAGTGTCAAAAATGGCTAGATTTCAGGCTTAGGACCGAAAAAATTCATAAGAATAGTAGAAGGAACCGTTTTCTCCAATTAAGGAAAATGGTGTACGAATGAATTGCAAAAATCATAGTTATTGGGGCTATGATTGCATACCCTGACGTGCTCTTATCTTTTAGTCAATCCATTTCAGGCTAATTCTTCAAGGACTAGGTCGCTGTTCTTAGGGTTCAGAAGCTTCCCAAGAGAGTTTTTAGGAAAAGCTGCCCTTTTCTCGTGAGGATGCAATTTTACAACAAGCACTATTTACATAGGCGAAGGTAGCATTTCAGGCTTTGTACTCAAATATTGGAATAACTTCACATACATTAAAGTAAATGGATGTTCAAGTAGTTTTATTGGAACAAGTGAATCGAAATTTCTCTTATTTATGCGCATTAAAAAGCACCATAATAACGTTAACTGGCATAACTTTGTAAAGACTACGAAGTTGCAAACGTAGGCTATTGAATAATTTTAATTTAACTCACAGTGCGTTAAAAATTAAATTCGCAGTGTGTTGGTAGCACGGGAGTAGAAGTCACCAGATCGATTTCCATCAATACACGTCCAGTGGTGCTAATAATCAACTGCGTTGATAGCTTCTGATGAAGAAGAGCAGCTCCAAGATATCTTCACTCTTCTCAAGTTAAGTGTTGAAATTATTAGGATTCCTAAATTAATTTACGAGCTATCTTCAAGTAATTTTAATCAAATACAAGTTGAGTGACAAAATTAAGCTATACAGAAAATCCCAGATTTTTCCGAATGACAGTGAAATTCACTGACTTACCTCCACGTGGTGCACCCTGGGCAACGTATACTTATACGACAAAAAAGTCTATTGATCGGCAATTGACTTCTGACTTCAAATTTCTATGGCCCGACTATTTTTCATATTCGACCCCTTCACAGTACTCATCTTACATTTTTTATGCCTTTGTGTCTGTCTGTCAGTCTCTTTTACCTCCGTGAATCATTATTCTCTCCCATCTCGACTTTTTGTCACTTTGATGTCCTTTCTCCTCTTCATGAAGCCCCAAAGTCAGCTCCAGGGCTTATGATAATTATCAAAACGCCTGCCATTTGATATAAATNGTACAGTTGTATGGCGCTATGTTAAAGGAAAAGTCGTTGAAACTTCATACATTTCATTACGCCTTTATGCATATAAAGTAACCCTATATATAACTCTATAAGGGGGGCGCGATAGACCTACCTCCATGTACTGTATCCTGGGCAACATATACTCATACGGCAAAAAAGTCTATTAACTGGCAGTTGACTTCTCACTGTATGTCATATTCCCCAACTTTCACAGTACTCTTCTTACCTTTTCTCTGCCTTTGTGTCTGTTTGTCTCTTTTACTTCTGTGAAACACTCTTCTGCTCCCTCTCTCGAATTTGTTACACTTTGATGTTCCTCCTCCTATCTACGAAGCCCGAAGTCAGCCAAAGGTTAATGACAACTATCAAAACGCCTACCATTTGAAATAAATAAAAATATATATAACTCTATATAAGTAAACAGTTTTCAAATTGAGTTTATTTAAAAACAAATCTCAATGTATTTCTTTCAGAGAACCAGAAGACGAGCCAAAGTGATGCGCAGACTGGCGAGGAAGTGTGAACAACGAATTCGAGCCGCAGAAGTTTCTAGCAATGCGGAATACCTGGAAGCACATTCAATCGTAGCCGATTCTTAAACCAATTAAAATCAACTTATAAGTGTTTAAAAAAAACCCTGTCACTTCACTGTTCTTCCTTTTTAACAAAGTAACTAAATACACCATCATTTACCATTAATTGAAGGTTTCATTTGCTTCAACAATTTTGCTCTAATATATTCCATTAATTCTCCTTTATCAGTATTTTTTACGTCAATAGATTTGACTGTAAATTTACTTGTGAAATAAGGGGGTGCGCGATAGACTTACCTCCACGTGGTGCACCCTGGGCAACGTATACTTATACGACAAAAAAGTCTATTGATCGGCAATTGACTTCTGACTTCAAATTTCTATGGCCCGACTATTTTTCATATTCGACCCCTTCACAGTACTCATCTTACATTTTTTATGCCTTTGTGTCTGTCTGTCAGTCTCTTTTACCTCCGTGAATCATTATTCTCTCCCATCTCGACTTTTTGTCACTTTGATGTCCTTTCTCCTCTTCATGAAGCCCCAAAGTCAGCTCCAGGGCTTATGATAATTATCAAAACGCCTGCCATTTGATATAAATAAATATTCGGCCATCACTCAGAAATATGCAATTTTTGTAAATAATTAATTCGAAATTTTGTAAAACGAATTAATTATTAGAATAATTTTAGGTGAAAATTATTTATTTTCCCACTTGGTTGTTAAAATAATCCGTTGCTTAACAAACTACTGCCTGTTCTTTTGTAAGTTTTAATTAAATGTGTACTGTGATATGGATTTCGATTAATTTCCCGCATTTCTATTCACGCGCTTTTGTTTCTAATTAGCTAGTGCGGAAGATTTCCTCCAAATTCCAAATTCCCTAGACAATGATTAATAGGATTTCTTTTGTCCAACATAATTGCATATTATAAATTCACGAAATCCTGCTGAATTTCACCTTGGCCTGTGTATGATACATATTGAAGGCCCTCATAACGACCATGCAGTTTTGTTGTGACCCATCATCACATTTGCACTTGAACCCGGTACCTTTGGGAGTATTTAGAAAACCGGTGTAACCAATCTCCAATTTCAAAAAAATATATATGCTTACTTGAGCACTGATGCAACTCTGAGGAAGACAATCCAACATAGAGCCCAAAATTAGGGACGGGAACTTGGGTATTCTTGATTCTCAACCGAAATCCTAGACAGTTCCACTTCATCTAAGTATTAGGTTGGCAACTCAGTCATTGCCGATTTCAAATAAGAAGGCAAATTTGGAATTTTTGTTTAAAAATATAACTTTATTCAATTAGATATTGGCCGTTCTTGTCGATGACCTTTTTCCATCCTTCTGGCAGAGTAAAAATTCACCGTTCGTAAAATGTCTTGTCTTTGCTATTAAAAAACTGAATTAGGTGTGATCCGACATCATCCGCGTTGTTAAAAATTTTACCATTTAAAGAGTTTTGCATGGAACGAAACAAATGGTAATCCGAAGGCGCAAGGTCAGGGCTATACGGTGGGTGTGACAAAACATCCCAACCCAGTTCCAATAATTTTTGCCGAGTAACCTAAGATGTGTGGGNCTTAAACCAATTAAAATCAACTTATAAGTGTTTAAAAAAAACCCTGTCACTTCACTGTTCTTCCTTTTTAACAAAGTAACTAAATACACCATCATTTACCATTAATTGAAGGTTTCATTTGCTTCAACAATTTTGCTCTAATATATTCCATTAATTCTCCTTTATCAGTATTTTTTACGTCAATAGATTTGACTGTAAATTTACTTGTGAAATAAGGGGGTGCGCGATAGACTTACCTCCACGTGGTGCACCCTGGGCAACGTATACTCATACGGCAAAAAAGTCTATCAACCGGCAATTGACTTCTGATTTCAAACTACCCCCACTGTATGCCATATACAACCCATTTCACAGTACTCATTTTCCCTTTTCTCTGCTCTTTTATCTGTCTCTATCACATCTGTGAATCATTATTCCTTCCCCCCTCTCGACTTTTTGTCACCTTGATGTTCCTCCTCCTCTCTATGAAGCCTGAAGTCAGCTAAATGGCTAATGATAACTATCAAAACGCCTGCCATTTGAAATAAATAAATAAATAACTTGTGAAATAAGTATAGACTCATCTCTGTATCATTGATACTTAACCGCAATTAGCGTCATTTACACTGTACATACCTTTGGATTAGACGAAAGAGGCTATTGAGATTTAATCTTGGATTAAGTGTAATAGCAACCACTCTAAGTCCCATATTCACATATATTTCGACTTAACAAAGATAGGTTCAAGTCAGTGATTAAGTTATTTCATTGGTCCGTTTAAAAATCGTCTCGCAATGGCCGATTTTTGGTGAACGTTGTTCTCTATGTACAGAAAACTTAACATGCTTTTTCAAACAACGTGGTTATTTATGAATTCTGGATGTGTTGACAACCGCGATCACCTTTGACTTGGAAAAGAAGATCCTTCAAGCCTAAAAAAGGTAAAACAGTTCATTAATAAAAATTATATTCAAATCGATAAGCAAACTAATCTAAATGATTTTCATAGATTCTACTGAAATTTACTCATTTGTATCAAATGGCAGGAGTTTTGATAGTTACCATTAACCCTTTGGCTGATATCGGGCTTCACAGAGAGGAGGAACTTCAAAGTGGAAAAAATTCGTGGTTGGGAACAGAGAAGAGGGTTAAAATTGTAAAAAAGGCAGACACAAAGGTAGTAAAAAGGTGAGGTGAGTAATGTGAAAGGGGTCAAATATGACATACAGTGGAGTCATGGTAGTTTGAATTCAGAAGTCAATTGCTGATTTATAGACTTCTTTGCCGTATGAGTATGCATTGCTCAGGGTGCACCACGTGGAGTTATGTCTACGCACACCCCAATGGTTCAGTATCATGAAGCCTAGAATTTTATCATTTACATATATCGTTTCCCTACTGAAATTACTTAAGTAAAAATATCTCATAACAGTAATTTC